GTCCTTTGGCTGAAAATTCATAAACGAATCATTTCTTGTTAATTTATGGCATAGATTTAATAATGTGGAGTAATTCTGGATGGCTGTGTCCAGATGTGACTGCAATATGTATGAAAGAATGCATACAAATTTTGTTCATTGAGAAACTAAGTACTCATAATACACATGATTTTTGTGTGTGTGGCGGTGGCATTCATACATGTCTGTGAGCAATTGCAGATGTTTTCCTACATGTTTTAGCAAATTTTCAAATTAATGGTATAGTGACAATTCCTTAGATCTTTGTCAACTTTTCAAATTCAGAACTTGGGGAGGATGTTGATGGATTCCTACACGTGAATCTGAGACAGGCTGTCAAGAACACTGTATGTTAATTTTTCTCCATGATTAGAATATTTTTTTCCTACAAGAGTTCTGGGAGTCTGGAGTAGGGTTTTTGAATCCATATCTGCTTATCTTAAAGTTTCATTTTGCATGTTATCTGATTATTTAATAATTCATAATCCAAACACCTTTTTTACACTTATTATGTGACTACATATCATATTCAATTTCATCCAAATTGAGGGAATTTATTACATTTCTTCAACGCAGTGTGAGTTGGAGGACCCAAAGCACGACTGGAAAAGTGAATTTGTTATTAAACTCTCTTATGAAACTGTTGACACCATGCCTCCCCTTTCCCATATTCACCTGTGAATTTGAGAGCATCCTCAAGCTGATAAGAACCATTGGAAAGAAATGAAACACAGATAGATGCTATTGTTGAGACCTTTATTGCTGCATAGAGAAAACGTCCTAGATAAAGGAATAGAGAGATCGACCCCAAAAGAAATTGAACGATCTTTGAGGGGAAGAGGAGTGTCTACTGCAGCAAGTAGACGGACTGCTGAGAAAAGAGGAAGCAAAGCAGCTAATGAATAGCACTGTAGCATCCAGAATGGAAAGTTAGTCAAAATCAATAAACAGTTCCATTTTCTTCATTGTGGCAAACTAGGTTATCTGAAAGTTGATGCTGTTAAGTGCCATGGAGTCAGAGGTGACTATGAATGAAAGACCTGGACACCTGTATAACTTTTGTACTTATACATAAATGTTAAAATATGAGGGTCATTTTCTCAACTGTATAGGCAGGCTCAAAGAAAGTCAAAGAAGAATAATTATATGCCAAGACATTATAGAAAATATGAAATTAAACAACAAAGCAGGCACTGAATCCACCACTGACCAAAGAGCGTCAGCCAATCCTGGTGACCAGGAACTTTGTCTTCTAAGAGTGCTTGAGATGGAATTGGAATCAAGACAATCTTTCCCAGCTCCAACAAAATACTTGGATCTTTGAAGAACTGACTCAGTGTAAGGATATGCTCAATCAGAACTGACTTATAGAGGCCTCTTCAGTGAGTTTTTAGAGGCTAGAAATCATACGAGAGGAGACAGGATATGTTTAAAAGTCCCAGCTGGGAAAGGGAGGTATCTGAGAAATTATTCTATCTTGCTTAAGCATCTGCATGGTGGATAACATCTCCCCAGGCCCTTTCACAGTGGGGAAAAAGTCAGTTCTAAATTGACATAAAGAGGCCCACAGTTTCAGGAGCTCTTAGGCATCTGAGGAAAATAAACTAAAATATTTATAAATATGAAGCCTTAACTGAGGATCCAAAGGCTACTACCTAAGATAAAGATTTCTCAATAAAACATTACAAACAGACACTGTTAATCATGAATGGAAAGAGGCTAACATAAATAAGAGTCAACAGAATAAATAACCATCTATAAAAGACACCCAATGGTTCACACAGGAATTATTGAAAATGTTGCATACATATGCAAGAAATGTTTAAGGAAATAGTATCAGGAGTTAATAAACAGACTGGAGGCAATATTTCATAAAAATATCAGTTAATATTGGAAAATATTACTTTATTATTTACTTATTATTACTGTATTCTTATTAATATTACTAATTTGGAAGAGAAAACTAACCATATCAAAAAAAGAAAATCATTCTTATTCAAATATTAAGAGGCATATTTGGCAGAAGAAAACAAACACAACAATAAAAGAAAGTAAGACTAAAATAATAAAATAAATTCAATGGTGAGTTTGAACAGTAAATTGGATACAATTGAACAGAGAATCAGTGAATGGAAAATTAGCTATAAACAGACATAGGGAGCTCTAGTGGTCTAGTGGCAAGAAGCTGTGCTGCAATCTCAAAGATAGGAGGTTCAAGTCCATCAGTTGCTCTTCAGGAGAAATATGGGCAGTCTTTTCCCATGTGATTAACTGCCTCTGAAAATCCATCACAAGGTCAGCTCTGGTTTGGTTCCAACTCAACGGTGCACAACAACAACAATAACAACATCATCGTAATGATAGAGGAATATAAGGAGAGGAAAGTGCTAGAAATAATTAGAAAGACGGAGGAAGACGTGAACCAGAATTTAAAATGAACAAGTAGCAAGATTAAAGAAGAGGTAATATTCAAGTGGTAACTAGTGAAGGTTTTACAGAATCTATGGAAGACACAAAACTTCAAATTCAGAAGGTCAGCAAAGCAGGGTCAATACATCTGTAGAACATCAGAGTTAAAGATAAATAATTGAAGAAATTTATAAAGATAAATTAATCATGGGAAATAAAGAATTAGACCCGAAAATAGTATAATTATATTTTCATGAAGCTGTCAATTTAAAATTTAATCGAGGATCAATTATTATTCCAAACCAAACTGAAACAGGGATATTTTTTTTTGCACAAAGGAAAATTGAGCATTTAATATCAATGGATCTATAGCAATGGTATGAAGGCTGTATTACAAACGTCAGAAAGAACAAACTGAATCTACACAAAAAGGAGAGATGCAAAGTTGGATAATTAACAAATTAATTGGTAGGGCATGCAAGCAGATGTAGTCTACGGATGACCTGCTTCCACATTAAAATGTGAAGATAATCTTTGCAATAATAGAGTCTTGAGTAATGCTTATAAAATGCTGGAGGGACATAAATGATGACATTTTTGATCAATTAAAAATGAGGCACAAAGTAAGAGTAAAAGGAAGCATATATGGTGCAGGCTGTGTAGAAAATGCAAAGTAACACGGCAACATCTGTCTAGATGTACCAATAATGACAATAAACAGAATTAAACTTTCTGATAACATAAAAATACATAAAAAATGAACCTTAAGGGAGTTCTGGCGGCCTAGTTAATGATAAGGAGTTGTCCTGCCAATTCAAAGGCAAGCTGTTTAAATACACCAACTGCTGTGTGGGAGAAAGATGGGCGGCCTTCTGGTGATTTGCAGCCTTTGAAAACGCACTGGAGGGTCAGCTGTGCATTGGTTCTGACTCGATGGCACATAAACATACTTAGTGGGGCTTTGGTGGTTTAACCAGCACTGTGCCACTAACCAGAAAGGCAGAGTACCTGCAGTGGTTTGAAGCCAGTAGCAGTTCCTCAGGGGAAAGACGGGCAGTGTCCTGTTGTGAAGATTTCATGCAAACCAACTAAAAAAATTTAAAAAAAAAAGATTTATGGCCTTGGAAACTCAAGGAGGGGAGCTTCGAGTTGGAGCTCAGCAGCATTGAGTTTGAGGGTTTTTTAGCACACTTAACATATTTATGTAATATTCTAGAAATGTAGATGAATTGAAGATGCTAATATAAAATTGATGACTTTGAGCTGTGGTGCTGGAGGAGAGTGTTGAACATCCCATGGACTGCTAGGAGAACAAACAGGTTTGTCCTGGAGAGGGCAAAGCCAGGCTGCTCCTTAGAGTAAAAAATTCTGAAGCTTTGACATACTTTGGGCATGTTGTAAGGAGGGACTGGTCCTTGGAGAGGGACATCATGCTTGGGAGAGTGGAGAGATGGTGCAGGAGAGGAAGACCCTCGATGAGATGGATCAATTCTGTGACTGGGGTGGTGGGAGTGAGTGTGTCAGAGACGGCAAGGTTGGCACAGGATAGAGCAGTGTTTAGGGCTGTAGTACATAGGGTCGCTATGAGTCACAAATGACTCAACAGCCCATAACAACAACAACAACAACATAAAATAGAGCAATAAACAAGAAATATCTATACTTAAAATCTTTATATCCCTAATATATTTCCCGATCCACAAACTCACACAAATCATATCCATTGAGTTGTAGAGGATTCTTATAGGTGATAGATAGATAATTGTAATCTTTTACCAACTCTTCCAAAAATTATAAAACGAGAAAAAATGCCACCAACTTACTTTATATTTCATAATAGCCTTGAGAAGTGAGCAGCTGACTATTACAGTAAACCAGTATTACGATTAGATTTATTTAGAGAACAGCAATTCTATAGAGACAAAAAGACTCATTGATCAATCAGCTTGAGATTTAGATTGGAAACAATTAAAATCCTTCTTTGACTATAACCTCTGCTGAACAGGTGGAGTGTAAGACACAGAGAAGAAGAAGTAAGGATTATTATTGTTTAGCCCGAATAGATTGTGTTTGCTAATCAACCCAGGGTGTCCTCTTACCCACAAAGTCAAACAAATCAGCTGTTGATATGAGAAATGTGGAAAACAAATAAATGTCAGTCAAAAGAATCTTACTGACACTAAGCTACTTGATCAATGAGTTAAAATGCAATGGTCTGGAAGAATGACAAAATATAATTTTAGATAAAATATATGAACCAGTTACATAAACTGACAGCTAAGGCACACTCCTTCTCAGGGAGAAAAGAAATGGGTGATCAACCCCCATACTATTGACTGCCTCTGAAAACGAGTTTTGGGCAAGAGGTTAAGCTAGGAGTTGGCTTTACTTGATAGTAGAAAGGAGCTCTGGAGGCCTTGTAGTAAGGAATTGCCTTAAGAACACGTATGTCGTTCGGGGAGCTCTGGTGGCCTAGTGGCAAGAAGCTGCACTGCAATTCCAGAGGCGCACGGTTCGAATCCACCAGATGCTCTGCCGGGGAAGAAGGGACAATCTCCTTCTGTACCAGTCAGATTTCCGCCCGCCCGCCGCCGAACAGCCATCGTGGATACCAGCCGCGTGCAGCCTATCAAGCTGGCCAGAGTCACCAAGGTGTTGGGCAGGACTGGCTCGCAAGGGCAGTCCACGCAGGTGCGCGTGGAGTTCATGAACGACACGAGCCGCTCCATCATCCGCAACGTGAAAGGGCCCGTGCGCGAGGGCGACGTACTGACCCTGCTGGAGTCAGAACGAGAGGCGCGGAGGCTGCGCTGAGGCCGCCACCGGATCCTCCACGTCTCTTCTGCTTGGCCCCAGAAATGATATTCATCGTTCATTAAAATCTATGTTGTGCTAAAAAAAAAAAAAATGTATCTCGTTCAAAACCAGCTACTTCATGGGAGGGTCAGTTAGGGTCTGTTCTGACTCGACAGTATACAACAACAACAATAGAAGAGTTGTAAATAAGGTTGGCTCAGGATAGAGCAGAGTTCAGAGCTGTTGAACATAGCGCTATGAGACACAAGTGACTCGATAGCACATAACAACAACAATAAAATAAGTGTTTACAAATACTCTGTGCAGAACCTCATTAAAGTGTTAAACAGCAAAAATAATCACTTTGCAAAGTTAAGCTGTGCATGGCCCTGGTGTTTTCAGTTGTCTCACTGGCTTGTGAAATTGCCCAATAAGTAAGGCATACTGAAGCAGCATTGACGCATTTGAAAGATGGTGTTAGCAAAGAATCTTGACTAGATGATGGGCTGCCCGAAGAACAAACATGTCTGTCTTGGTAGAAGGCCAGTTAGAAAGCTCCTTAGAAGTGACGGTGAAGCGACCTCCTCTCACATATTTTGGACAATGCCATCAGGAGGGGCCAGTCCCTGGGGAAGTCCATTGTGCTCCATCAAGGAGTCTGAAAAAGGAAAGTCCTCCGTGAAATATACTGACAGTTGCAGCTATAACGTCTCAAAGATAACAAGCTTCAGGAAGATGGTCCAGAGTCCACAGTGTCTTCTTCAGCTCTTTGCAGGGTCCCTGTGACTCGGAACTAACTTGATGGAAACTAACGACAATGTACATTTTCATCTTTTAAAAAATTTAATTAGAACTCTAAAGTTGGTATTGCTGCAACTTTTCAGATTTGGGAACTACGGCTCAGTGTCACATATCAATAAGCAGTAAGCCAAAGGTGGGTGATTTTAATCTGCTGCCCTCAGGCCTGGTTTTAATTGTTTTTGGTCAAACATTCTTCTCAGTGATATAGCGCTGGTCTGCCCATTTGCTCTACAGAGGTAACTCATGGTTGCTGTGATGCTGAACACTGTGACACTGATGTGTCAAATGCGATAATGGTCACCCATGGTGGACAGTGTTTGGTGGAGCTCCCCGATTAAAACAAGCTTGGAAGCAGGAGTGGTATCCACTTCCGAAATAGATTGCCTCCAGAAACCCTATGAACCTGGACAAAGGATGAAAGTTCTATAAGTGTTCAGGTCTTTCCTTCATAAGGTTGCTGTGAGTTGTCTATGACTGGAAGGCATTTAACAACAACAATAGTTTACCTTAGCCTTCAACACTTTCACAAAAGTACCATGCTGTGCTGAGAATTGTTGTTAGCTGACCTCCAGCAGTCTCTTGTGGTGACCTCATGCACACCAGACAAAGCAATGGCATCCCTATGATGCTTTGCTGATTAGATCCAGTCGTTAATTTTCACAATTTGAGCCTTCCCTTCCTGCCTACTCTGTTAGTCTGGAAAACTGCTGAATCTTGCCCATGGTAAGCAATGTTACTGGTGTTTGGAGCCATCGGTGGCAAAGTTCTCAGGATTACAGCAGGATGGATGTCATGCCAGGTAAGTGGCAGTTAGCAGCCCACAGAGATAGCTTCTTTATTTACAATGGAAAGTTATCTTATTTGAACCTGAATTTCAGCAAATGAGGTGAATTGATTTCTTAGCAGAGCTCAGGCATTACCAAACCAAGTCTGTATACAGGAGGGAAAGTTTCCCTCTTAATATACTAGAGCATGAATCCAAGAAAGACCTCTAAAATCCATTAAAGCAAGCTTTCCCTCAAAACCTATAAAATGAAAAATTGGTATGAATTTCGTTAAAAAGCACCTTATTAATATTTCATAAACTTTACAGGGCCAGTCCATGGTTAAGAAATTTAGTGTTGTCTGAAAGCAATTGAGTTCAGCTTTGGAGGCAAAAGATCTCGGTTTACCACTGAGAATGATTTATATTTCAATAAAACATTTCTCAGTTAAGATTGACCTCACTGATTAGAAAATTACGTTAATGAAATAAAAGTCATAGGTTTCATAATTGTGCTTGTGTCCAGGATCCTAGATGTACCTTTAAGAATTGGCCAATTTGCTACTCTCCCTCCCCCCTCACTGTTATATGCCATGTGTGGCAAGGGGAGGGTAGCAAACAGGTCATATTCAGGGCAAAACTCCATATATGCCTTGCTGTTGGTAAAGCAAAGGTTTTATTAATTGCGTACTTTGTTTATTTATTGATTTAATCATCACACATGTATACAACAGTATTGTTTTAAGCTATTTATATAGCATATATATTATTGTCAATTTAGAGATTCAGGTGTGCCTAATCCAGGCCATGGTCTTTGCAATTATTTGTTACACATTAGAGAGCTGGACAATGACTAAGGATGGCAGAAGAAGAACTGATGTCTTTGATCTGTGGTGCTGGAGAAGAGTATTGAACATAT